TTGTAGGAGTGTCCTTCATGACAGATAAGATTCCGCATGATTTCCCAGAAGGATGGGATCTTCTGCTTCTCCCTGGCACTTCCCTGCCCTGAGTGCTCCATAGGCATTCCAAGGCCCCGTTGTGATAGCTCTGCCGTGCCACCCAGTCACAGAGGCAGGTGGGATGTGCTATCCATACAAGGCCATGGGTTTAGCCCAAAGCAGGGTGGGACAAGGTTGCCATGATGGGGTGAGAGCAAATGGGGATGGTGTTTCAGTAGAAGCCACAGGAATAATACCTTCCATAGCAAGATGGGCGCCAGCAGCCATAGCCATAGCCACCACAGCCCAGGCCTCCATAGCCATAGCCGCCAAAGCCACAGCCTAGGCCACGGAGGCTTCCATATCCACAGCCATAACCAGAGCCATAGCCGCAGCCCAGGCCCCCGTAGTAGCTGCCATAGTAGCACATTGTGTCAGGATTCACTTAGTTGGATGGATGGTAAGGGTAGGTTGTGTGAGTATGTAGGGCACTATCTGCACCTGGACTTTTATACCATTCCAACAGGAAGGAGGTGTGGCAGAAGCAGAAGCAGAATTGCGTAACTTCCATTAACCAAATTCCAAGGCCAAATCCCATTCTTGTCATTGTTTGGTTCCTGAACAACAATTCCTCCAGCTCAGTAACAGTTTCATTTTTTCTTCATTTGTGGTTCCTCTGAGAAGGCTCCGCCATTATCTTGTTGCTGTAATGAATGTTTATCGTGTTGTCAACGTCTATTTGATTAATGTCACTGATGCCCTATCCAGACTTCTCCCAGATGGCGTTGTTCTCCTTTCATTACACTTTCCTTTCTTGGACTTCTGATTCCTTATCAGGGTGATGGAATCCTGTCTCTCTAAATCAATTGTTCTTGAGGTTCAAGGGACAGAGAGGACTTCACAGAAAAGTTAGGTTGGAATTGGGATAGTGGTGGAGCATAAGTTCCTGGAATCCATCCATCCAACTTCTATTCCAAAAGCCTCCCTAGTGTTTGCACTGTGAGAAGCACTGTGCTTTCTTAGGGATACAAGGGAGAGCCAACAGATTGCCTGTCTTCAGGTAGCTCTGAAGTTTTAAGGCCAGGGAGAACATTAAAAAAAGTAAAAGAAACGTAAGGCACCTGTCACCAATATGCAGCACTGGTAGGTGAAGACCCCAGAAGCAGAGGCACAAGCCACTAGGGGAAAGGAGAAAGGCCATGTACCACGGGTGATTTTAGAATGGAGTATAGAGTGGGATAGAAAGTCAAACCTACCTTAAAAGAGACTGAACCAGAGCTGTGAGCCAATGGCACTTTATTAAAGGGTCCATGTTTCCCTCTAATGAAGTGGATGTCTGATCTTCCCCATGATCTGAGAAGCCCTCTTTTTTTGGGGCCTTATTTTTATAAGGTTTGATAAAAGATTTTGGTTGGGTGAGGCATGGGGCATCTGGACTAGGTGGTATTAAGATAGTCGCTTGATCATGTGTGACAAGAGAAAATGGTCCAGAGGTACAAAAATAAGTTAGGAGACTTTCCATGTCATTGAGTCACCTCCACCACGCTGTACTTGGTCACTGTAATAAGGAACAAAAAGGGGTGAAAGCCCTCTAGTTAGCTTCCTATGGTTAAACAAGTGAACTTAAATCTGCAGGTCACAGCTCTGGATTGTAATATATAGACTTATAATTCCTGCTCCTATGGAATCATATCAAATTTATTATTACTGATTGGAATGGAGTAGAAGTCGAAATGAATTATTTCTCATGTCTGCCCAGGATCCTATCCTCTCTCCTTCTTCCACCTCTAACTTTCTGTATTCTATTGTATTCTCAGTTCTAAAATCACTTGTGATACATGGCTTTTCTCCTTTCCCCTAGTTGCTCGTGCTGATGTTTCTCATGTTGTCTCCCATCAACCCTCCATGATTGTGGCACTGCCTTGTTTTTTTTTTTTTAATAGTCTCCTTGACCTTAAAACTTCAGATCTCCCTGAGGACAGGGAATGTGTTGACATTCCTTTATTTCCCTAACATGAGCATAGTCACTGTCACAGTGCGAACACTGTTGAGGTGGTTGGTACTTTGATGGCTTTTGGAATAGTTGCTGGATGGATGGATTCCACAAAGCTGAGCTCCACCACTATCTCAACTCCAATCTGAAACTTCTGCGAACTATTCTGTCACTTGAGTCTTCAGATCATTGATTTAGAAAGACAGGATTCCATTGCCCAGATAAATAGTTGCATGACCCTACCAACCTCACATAATCAGCACTTTCCAAGACTTGCGCAATTAAAAATTCCATGGCTGTACCAAGGTTGCAGGAGACCTGGGTCTCTAGCTACTCTCCTTTCACTGTCTTTGAAAGCCCTGAACATCAGGTTCCTGCCCCTCACCTTTGAGAAACTGCTGTCTCCAAAGTTCCCAGTGATATCCTCATGACCAAAATTAATGCCCTCTTCTGAATCTTCCTTCTTCCTGACCTGCCTTAGAATTCTGACTGCTCTGCCCAACAGATGCTGCTGGGTGTGTTTGACACTGATTTTCTGGACTAACTGTTCCTTTCTGGTGGACTTAGGCAGCCCATCATCCCATCAGCTCAGATCCAGTATCTCTAGCTGAATCTTACATTCGTACTTCTTTTGCTTTGTCTCTTTTCTATGTTCCACAAAGATGAGACAGTAGACTGTCCTTAGGTCTCATGGCTTCATTGACCTTCTCACTGCCACTCACTGTGAAATCTTCAAATTCTCTATTACTTTATGGATAACAACTAGCCAAGGTTTTAGGTTCACCATATCAAGGGACCTTCTTTACCCTTCATTATCACTGCATCAATTTGATCAGTGTACAAAACTTATTCTATCTACCTACATAACATCTCTGGCATCCAAACGCTTCTCTCAAATCTCACAGCCCCCATCTTAGATCAGGGCCTCACAGCTCCTCTCTACAAGAGCCTTTGATAGGCCTCCATGCCTCAATCATCTTCCCACTCAGATTGCTTCTCCAAGCATCAGCCCAAGGTATTTTTCTAAAGCATTCATCTGACCCCTGTTGCCCTTAAAGCCCTCCAAGTCCTTGGCCTTGCACCAATGATCTTGTAAACTCCCACTGCTTCCTGTTTTGTACTGACTTAAATAGATAGTTTCTGTCTCGCTTTTGGCCCTCTTCTTTAGCTGGCCCATTCCCACCTTTCCAGTCTCAGTACACTTTATTTTGCTCCCCACAATGTGATGGTCTTGCCAGTGCTAGTCTTTGACTCAGACAATGCATTGCATGTCCCTTCTACTTGCCTGTGCACTGGTTAGCTGTTCACACCGTGTGAGGATTAAAATTGTCTCACCTACAATAAAAAGACAGAGGCAACTCTGAGGCAACAGCACTTAATTAAAAGATCCATGGTCCTCTCTAATGAAATGGACCTCAGATATTCCTCATCATCTGAGAAGCTCTCTTTTTCCATGGCCTTTTTTGGTAAGGTTTCATAACAGATTTGATAACTAAACATTGTAAAGAGTATACACAAAGTACAGAATCCCAATTTCTTTTTTGTTTTGTTTTTGTTGTAAGGCAATGGGGTTAAGTGACTTGCCTAAGGTCACACAGCTAGTAAGTGTTATGTGTCTGACACCGGATTTGAACTCAGGTCCTCCTGACTCCAGGGCTGGTGTTCTACCCACTGCATCACCTAGCTGCCCCCAGAATCCTAATGACTGATAGCTCTTGCATTGTGGGGCAAAAAATGAGGCATCAGCTGGAAATGACAGGTCAATAGGAGGATCTTAGGTTGGTTGAGGCATGGGGCATCTCCACTGACTAAGAGGTCATAAGATGGTCACCTGTTTATGTTAGACAAGTGAGCATGTCTGGAGGCACAAAAAATAAGTTGGGGGACTTTGCATGTCATTAAGTCATCTCTGCCACTCTGGGTTTGGTCACCATAACAAACAAAAATAAGGGTGGAGGGCCTCTCGTTAGCTTCCTATGATTAAGGAAATGAATTTACAATCTACAGGTCACAGCTCTGGGGCATAACATATAGAATTTATAATCCTAGGACATTGGAATCTTAACAAATAGATTATTACTGATTGGAATGGAGTAAGGGTCCAAATGAATTATTTCTCACATCTCTCTAGAATTCTATCCTCTCTCTTCCCTTCCCCTCTGACTTTCTATTCCATTATATCCTGAGCTCTAAAATCTTCTGTGGCACATGGCCTTTTTCCTTTCCCCTAGTAGCTTCTGCCACTGGATCTGAGGTCTTCCCCCATCAACCCCCATGTTTGTGGCAGGTTCCTTGTATTTTTTAAAATATTCTCCCTGGCCTTAAAAATTCAGAGATAGCTGACAACAGGGACTCTTTTGATATTCTTTTGCACCACTAACATTGGCACAGTGGCTTTCATAGTGCAAACCTTGGGGAAGTGTGTGATTTTTGGGATGCTTGTTTAATGGATGGATTCCACGAATCAATGCTCCACCACACTCTCAACTCCAAACTGAAATTTCTGTGAACCATTCTGTCACTTGAGTCTCAAGAAGCACTGATTTAGAGGGATAGGATTCCATCATTCAGACAAAGAATCAGAAGGCAAGGGAAGGAGATGTGACGGAAGGAGAACAATGCCATTGGGGAGAGGAATGCCATGAAACCTGGATAAAGCATCAGCCACATGAACCACATAGGTTTAACAACATGATAATCATTTCTCATTATAGCAACAAGATAATGGCTAAGCCTTCTTGGACAAACCACAAGTGAAGAAAAAATAAAACTGTTACTTGAGCTGGAGGAATTATTGTCAGGGACCAAACAATGACAAGAATGGGACTTTGCCTTGGAATTTGATTAATGGAATTATGCAATTATGGTTCTGCGTCTGTCACACATCCTTCCTGCTTGGAGAATATAAAAGTCCCTGTACAGATAGTGCCTTACACACTCACACAACCTACCCTTAACATCCTCCAACTTAGTGAATCCTGACACAATGTGCTACTATGGCAGCTACTATGGAGGCCTGGGCTATGGCTATGGTCCTGCTTATGGCTGTGGATGTGGCAGCTTCCGTGGCCTAGGCTGTGGCTATGGCAACTATGGCTATGGAGGCCTGGGCTATGGTGGCTATGGCTATGGCTGCTGGCGTCCATCTTGCTATGGAAGGTATTATTCCTGTGGCTTCTACTGAAAGCCATTTGCTCTTGACCTATGATGGCAACTTGTCCTGCTCTGCTTTGGGTTAATTCCATGGCCTTGTAAGGACATCACATTTCACCTACCTCTATGTCTGGGGTGGCCTGGGAGAGCTATCACAACAGGGCCTTGGAATCTTTATGGAGCACTCAGGGCAGAGAATGAGAAGCAGCAGTACCTGTTCTTCTGGGATTTGATGCAGATTCTCACCTGTCATGAAGGAGACTCCTCTAATGACATCTCGTTTCCAGCAAGTTTGCTCAGCTCTGATAGACTATAGCTGAGCCATATGTTAAAATTTTCTAATAAACTTATTTCACTGGCCTAGCAAAACTTTGTTTGCCTCTCCTCATTGACTTCACTCTACTTGGGTTTCAGCCTCTGACCAAGAAGAGATTTTTGGCCTTGTAGTGCTTATCTACATCATTGCAGAAGATTTGCTCTCCAATGCAAAGGTTGTCCCTCTCCTGCTGTCTATTCAGAAAACATTTTTTCATTGTTAAATGTTTTTCTACAGTTTAATCTGTGCAGTGTTTCATTTTAGTATATGAGGGTCCCCTTTACTGAAAGGAAGGGATTTGTCCCCTATTAGCTTCATCCCTTTTTACATGTTCTAGGAAGATGGGGACAGGCCTTTTATTTTCAAGATTTGAAAAAGTTTCACATGCTTATGCTGTCATATTCATGGTTCATGACCTCCAGATCCAAGATGTCTCTGATTCTGTCAGAATTGACTTAACCTGCTGTCTGGGGAAGCTATGTAGTGCATTTTATTGAGTTTTGGGCCTAGAGTCATCTTCTTAAGTTCACGACTGTCCTTAGACAGTAGTTTGCATGACCCTAGGCAAATAATTTTATCCTATTTACTTCAGTTTCCTAATCTGTCAAATGAGCTGGAGAGAAAAATGACAAACTGCTCTGTTATCTTTACCAATAAATCCTTGAATGGGCTCCCAGTTGACAAACAACAGAACAATAAATCCCTTGTATAGCTTTCTTCCACCACTTTGTTGTCAGCAAGCAATCTGAAGACTTGGAGCACAGCACAAGTGGATAGCCCACCACCAAGATTACAGGATGGAGTCGTATTCCAAGTCTGAAGTTTATCATGGAACCTTGTATCTTTTGTTGGCCTTATCTCCTCAGGTCAACTGCCCAGCCTGTCCAGCTCCCAATGCTGATTGCATGCTAAGGCCATCTGTTCACAGAAAAAGAGATTCCATTGTTGCAGGGGCATCCAGCAAAACACTCAAAAAAGTCCACTCCCAAAGAAATTCAAACACCAAGGGAAAGAAAACATCTGCTTTGCAGCTCAGCTTGCTGTCCACAGGCCTTTAGATTCCTCACCTCCATAGGCCAATACGGCCCATGAAATCATGCCCTTTCTGTGGGTCCTTAGGAAGAAAGCTGAGCCCAGCACATTCTCTTGCACTGAGTGGTTACTCTTTAATTTTGTTTATTGATTGAACTTGTGTTTCAGAGAGTAGAGAAAACCGTACAAATGCCACTACCATCATTAGCTTAAAATGCATTTCTTTTACTATATATCACTCCATGGTATTATTCTGAAGCATGTACATTTCTGTATATCCACTGTATTTTAGAGGGAAATGCCCTCAACAGCATCACTCTATTTGATTTTTCCTAAAACATAACTCCAAAAGATGTACCAGTCGTTTGCAGGAGACTTTCCCTGAGGATCAATTCAATGGGAATACATATTTCAGGAAAAAAATAATTTGTCTCCAGGACACCTCACACCAGCCAAAGAATATTCCATTCTCTTTAGCAAAGACAGAAGTGAGTTTGGGGGTGGCTGGCACCAATGCCATCTCTGAATCCATGTTATCCCCTCTAAGGACAAACAGAAGTGATCTAATACTTACACCATTTGATGGCTGCTGAGACACCCTATGAAGGCTAGGACAAGCCACTGAATGTTCTCTAAAAGGAAGAATCTCTGTTTTTCCAAGTGAGCCTCCAAGGCCCTTTAGCCTTTGAGGTCAGAGCTTCTCTGGATCTTCTCTAGCTTCACCAAAGACCAGTCATGCACTGAGTGATACAGGATACAAACAGATCATCACCTCTATTTTCCTTAGCTCTAGGACTTTGTACCTACTCTCTCTCCAAACTGCTCTCTCCAAAGTCCCTAGTGATACCCTCATACCCAAGACTAATAACCTCTTATGAGTCTTCCTTCTTCTTGACCTGTCTTAAAATTCTTACTGCTCTACCCAACAGGTTCTTCTGCATGTGCCTGACACTTCTTTCTGGCCTAACTGTTCCTTTCTGGCAGACTTAGTTAGCCCATCATCCCATTATCTCAGACCCGCTATCTCTGGCTTAACCACACATTTGTATCTCTTTTCCTTTCTCTCTTCTCTATGACATACAGAGGTGAGACAATACATCCTACTTAGGTCTCAGTGTTTCATTGACCTTTCTCTGCCACTCACTGTGAAATCTTTGGATGCAGATGTTCATCTTTCCTGAGCTCCAGTTCCACAACATGAAATGTCAATGACCACAAATTTCAACTTGATGTTCTAGTACTACATATCTCAAAGCCCCTAATTCTATTACATATTTCCTCATCCTGCCTTGTCCAAAGTGTACAACCTCTTCCCAAATTCTCTATTCCTTTCCATATCACAAACAACTAGTGAGGTTTTAGGTTCACAGTCTTAGGGACACCCTTGACCCCTCATTATTGTGGCACTTATTTGATCAGTTTACAAAACTTGTCCTATCTACCTTTACAACATCTCTGCAATCCCAACACTTCTCTCAAACTTATAGCCCCCCATCTTAGACCAGGGCCTCACAGCTCCTCTCTGCAACTGCCTTTGATAGGCCTCCCTGCCTCAATCATCTTCCCAATCAGATTGCTTCTCCAAGCAGCAGCTAAAGGTATTTCTTATTGTTTTCCAAGGTATTTTTGAAAGCTTTCATCTGACTCCTGTTCCACCTAAAACCCTACAAGACCCTCACTTTGCACCAATCTTTAAACTCCAGTTGCTCCCTGTTTTATGCTGATTTAAATAGGTTGCATCTGTCTGGCATTTTTCTTTCTCCTTTAACTAGCCCTTTCCCACCTTTCCAGTCTCATAACACTTCATTTTGCTCCCCACAATTTGATGGTCTTGCCAGTGCTAGCCTACAGTCTTTTACTCAGACAAAGGACAGCAGCTCCCTTCTGCTTGCCTTTGCACTGATTGGCTGTCCACACTGTGGGGGGTATTAAAATTATCCAACCTTCAATAAGAGAGACTGATCCAGAGCTCTGAGCCATTGGCACTTGATTAATGAGTCCATGTTGCCCTGTGATGAAGAGCACATCTTCCTCATGATCTAAGAAGCCCTCTTTTTCTGGGGCCTTATTTTTTTAAGGTTAGATAAAATGTTTGGCTTGGGCGAGGCATGGGGCATTTCCCCTAAGTGGTCGTAAGATAGTTACCTGATCCTGTTGGACAAGAGAAGATTGTCTGGAGGTACAAAAATAAACTGGGAGGCTTTGCTTGTTATTGAGTCACTTCCAGCATGCTGCACTTCGTCACCCTAATAAGGAAAAAGAAGGGTAAAAGTACTTTAGTTAGCTTCCTATGTTTAAATAAATGAACTTAAATCTGCAGGTCACAGCTCTGAGGTCTAATATATAGGACTTATAATTCCTACCACTATGGAATCATATCAAATTGATTAATAGTGATTGGAATAGAGTAGAGGTCCAAATGAATTATTTCTCATATCTTCTCAGGATCCTATCCTCTCTCCTCCATTCCTCTCTAATTTTCTCTATGCTATTATATTTCCAGTCGTAAAATCATCTGTTGTATGTGGCCTTTCCCCTTTCTTTCAGTGGCCTTTGCCTCTGCTTCTGACATTGTTCCCATCAGTTGTCCATGATTTTGGCGCTACTTTGGTTTTTTTTTTTTTAAAGTTCTGCCTGACTATAAAACTACAGAACTCCCTGAGGACAGGGACTCTGTTGACATTCCTTTGTTTCTCTAACATGAGCATAGTCGCTTTCACAGTGCAGACACTGCAGAGGTGGTTGGTACATTCTTGGCTTTTGGAATAGTTGCTGGATGGATGGATTCCACAAAGCTGAGCTCCACCACTATCTCAACTCCACTCTGAAATTTCTGTGAACTATTCTGTCACTTGAGTCTCAAGAGCATTGATTTAGAGATATAAGAATCTATCACTCAGACAAAGAATCCAAAGGTCCAGGGAGGAAAGTGTTATGTAAGGAGAACAATGCCATCTGGGAAAGGATGCCGTGAAGTCTGGGTAGGGCATCAGCAACATTAACCTCATAGGCCTTGGCAACACCATAATCACTTCTCATTATAGCAACAAGATAATGACTGAGCCTTCTCAGAAGAAACACAAATGAAGAACAAACAAAACTGTTACTGAGCTGGAGGAATTGTTGTCAGGCACCAAACAATGACAAGAATGGGATTTGGCCCTGGAATTTGGTTAATGGAAGTTATGCAATTCTGCGTCTGCGTCTGCCACACCTCCTTCCTTTTGTAATTGTATAAAAGTCCAGGTGCAGATAGTGCCCTACATACTCACACAACCTACCCTTAACATCCATCCAACTAAGTGAATCCTTACGCAATGTGCCATTATGGCAGCTACTATGGGGGCCTTGGCTGTGGCTATGGCTCTGGTTATGGCTGTGGATGTGGCAGCTTCCATGGCCTAGGCTGTGGCTTTGGCAGCTATGGCTATGGAGGCCTGGGCTGTGGTGGCTATGGCTATGGCTGCTGGCGCCCATCTTGGTGTGGGAGGTATTATTCCCATGGCTTCTACTGAAAAACCATTTGCTCTTGACCTATCATTGTACCTTGTGCTGCCTTGCTTTGGGCTAATTCCATGGCCTTGTAAGGATATCACATTTCACCTGCCTCTACGGCTGAATGGCATGAGAGAGCTACCATAATGGGGCCTTGGAATGCCTATTCAGCACTCAGGGCAGGGAAGTGGCAGGGAGAAGCAGAAGATCCCATCCTTCTGGGAAATGATACAAAATGTCACCTATCATGATGGAGACTTTCCCAATGACATCTCATTTTCAGCGAGTTTCCTCAGCTCTGATAGACCACAGCTGAGCCGTCTCTTACAACTTTCTAATAAACTTGTTTTCGCTGCCTTAGCAAAACTTTTTTTGCCTCTCCTTTTTGACTTCAGTATATTTGGTTTTCTGCCTGTCATCATGAAGAGATTGTCAGCATAAGATTTTGTCTCCCGTGGGTATTTGCCATGAGCTGATACTTCCCCAGATTTCCGTTCAGAAATATTTTTTCGTTGTTAAATGTGTTTGTAAAATTTGACTTCTGCATGACTTTGTTTTAGTATATCATAATACTCAGGGCCCACTTACTGAACTCAAGGCATTTGTCCCTTTATGCTGTATCCCTTCTCACATGTTCAAGCATACAGGGACAGTCCTTTTATGTTAAAGATTTTTAAAAGTTTCACATCTTTATGGTGTCATGTTCAAGGCTCTTGACATCCAGATCCAAGGTGTCCCTGATTTTGTGAGAACTAATTTAACCTATTGTCTGGCGCAGCAAGGTGATGCATTTTATCGATTGTTGGGCCTAGAGCCATCCTTTTGAGTTCAAAACTGTCCTCAGATGCTAATTTGCATGACCCTGGGGAAGTCACCTAACTTTATTGGCCACAGTTTCCTCATCTGTCAAATGAGCTGGAGAAGAAAATGACAAACCATTCTGTTATTATTACCATGAAATCCTTGAATGGGCTCCCAATTGAAAAAGAACTGAACAATAAATCCCTTGTATATCTTTCTTCTACCCTTTTGTGGTCAACAAGTAATCTTAACACTTGAAGCATAGTAAGAGTGGATAGTCGACCACAAAGATTACAGAAGAGAGTAATAATGCAAGTGTGAAGGTTGTCATGGAACTTTGTACCTTTTGTTGGCTAAGTCTCCTGAGGCCAAGTGCTCAGCCTATCCAACTTACAATGCTGAGTTCAAGCTGAGTCCTCATTCAACAGAGAAATAGGTTCCATTATTACAAGGGCATCCAGGAAAACACTCAAAAACCTCAACTCTCTAATAAACTCAAACACCAAAGGAAAGAAAATGTCTGCTTTGTGGCTCAGCACGCTTTCTATAGACCTTTAGATTCCTCACCTCCATAGGCCAACATGGCCCCTGAAATAATGCCCTTTCTATGGGTTCTTAGGGAGAAAGCTGAGCTTAGCATGTTCTCTGACACTGAGTGGCTGCTGAATAATCATTCATTGATTGAACTTGTGTTTCAGAGAGTGGAGAAAACAGTACAAGTGCCACTACAATCATTAGCTTAAAATGCATTTTTATTACTATGTATCACTCCTTGGAATCATTCTGATTTGAAAAAACAAACAAACCATGTACATATCTGCATAACCACAGGATTTTAGAGGGAAATATGCCCTCAACATCCTCTCTCTAGTTGATTTCTCCCAAAACATACCTCCAAGAGATTCACCAATGGAATGGTTTGTCAGAAACAGTCTGTGAGGATTAATTCAATGGAAACAAATATTTCATTAAAAAAAATTTCTTTCTTAAACATCTCACATTGGGCAAAGAATATTCTATTCTCTGTACGAAAGCGAAAAATCAGTTTAGAAGTGGCTGAGATAAATTTAATCCCTGAATCCACATTATGCCCTCTAGGGACAAAGAGAAAATGATCCAATACTTATACTATGTGATAGCTGTTGAAATACCCTTCAAATACTAAATTAAGCCCTTGAGTGTCCTCTAAAATGAGAAATCTCAGGGATGCTAGGTGGCGCAATGTGAAGAGCACTGACTCTGAAGTCAGGAAGACCTGAGTTCAAACTGGCCTCAGACCAAACACTTGACACTTACTACTGTGTGACCCTGGGCAAGTCACTTAACCCCAATTGCCAATAAAATAAAATAAAATGAGGAATCTCAGTTCCTCCAAGTGAGTCTCTTAGGTCTTGAGCTGGAGGTCCTTCAGCCTCATGGTCTAGACTTTTATGGACACTTTTTCCTTTCTTTAGACAATTTTAATTCCCACAAATTGTGGACAGCCAATTAGTGCAAAGGCAAGCAGAAGGGAGTTGCTATCCTTTGAGTAAAAGAAGGTAAGCTAGCACTGGCCAGACCATCAAATTGTGGGCAGCAAAATAAAATGTACCGAGACTGGAAACTTGGGAATAGGGTAGCTAACGATGAGGGCAAAAAGCCAGGCAGAAGCCATCTATTTAAATCATCATAAAACAGGAAGCAACTGGAGTTTACAAGGTAATTGGTGCAAGGTCAAGGACTTGGGGGGCACTAAGGGAAACAGGATTCACATGAATGCTTTAGAAAACTACATTAGGCTTCTGCTTGGAGAAGGAATCTGAGGGGCTAGATGATTGAGGCAGGGAGGCCTATCAAAGGCATTTGCTGAGAGGAGGTGTGAGGACCTGATCTAAGATGGGGGGCTATAGTTTTGAGAGAAGTTTTTGGATACCAGAGATGTTATGTAGGTAGAGAGAACAAGTTTTATAAACAGATCAAATAGATGCTGTGAAAATGAGGGGTCAAGGACATCCCTGATAGGGTGAACCTAAAACCTTGGCTAGATATTTGTGATCTGGAGAGGAATAGAGAATTTGAGAAGAAGTAGTATGTTTTGGACAAGTCAGGATGAGGAAATACGTAATAGAATTAGGGGCTTTTAGATATGTAATGAACATCACGTTGAAATTTGTAGACATTGATAGTTCATGTTGTGGGACTGGAGCTGAGAAGTGTTGAACATCTAGATCAGGAGATTTCACAGTGAATGGCAGTGCAAAGATCATTGAAGCCCCGAGACTTAGGGAGGGTCTACCATGCCACCTCTGTAGAATATAGAGAAGAGAGAAAGGAAAAGAGCCACAAACATAAGGTTCAGCCAGAGACAGTGTGTCTGAGATGATGGGATGTTGGGCCACATAAGTCCACCAGAAAGGACAGTTAGGCTAGAAAATCAGTGTTAAACACAACCAGGGTTACCTGTTGGGCAGAGCACTCAAAATTGTAAGAAAGGTCAAGAAGAAGGAAGACTCAGAGGAGATCATTAGTTTTGGTCTAAGATGGGGGTGTAGTTTTGAGAGAAGTTTTTGGATGAAGCCATGGCTTGGAACTTTGGAGGGAGCAGTTTTTCTCAAAGGTGAGGGTCAGGAACCTGATGTTCAGGGCTTTAAAAAACAGTGCAAAGAGAGTAGCCCACAACCTTAAGTAGGGTCCAATGACCTTGTTAGAGCCATGGACTTTATAAACCTGAAATTCTTGGAAAGTGCTGATTATGTGAGGTTTGTAAGATCCTGGAGTCTTGGCATGTGTAGATAGCCAGCTGAACAAATTACTTTCAGAGAAATACTGGTTTGGAGTCATAGAAGGGATATTGAGCATCAGAGAAAAGGTAACTGAGCCCATAGCAGGTCAGAGAATGTAGTAGAGGGAAGAGAAAGTATTCTATAGTTGTGGAGCATCTCAGAAGTTCTTCAGGTGACCAGAAAAAAACTGAATTCAAGGAAATTCAGACAGCAATAGGTCACCTCTTCTCCTACCTTGCAATCTGCTTACAACTCTACTCTCAAGGATATGGAAGCCCAATAGATTGTCACATGACAACAAGAAATTGCGTAGTTACCTTGAGATTGCATGGAGAGAGTTAAAATGGCCCAGAGCTCAGAAAAACAGATGTGATGGTTGGTCTGTAACCTGCACTACTCAGTGGATGGCTGGTCTTTGCTGAAGCTGAAGAGCATTGGAAGATCAGACCATGAGGCTGAAGGGCCTCTAGCTAATGTTGGTAGTGTGCTTATACTGTTTTCTCCACTGCCTGAAACCCAAGTTCAATCAATAAATGACTAGTCAGCAGCCACTCAGTGTCAGAGAATGTGCTAAGATCAGCTTTCTTCCCAAGAACCAATAAAAAGGGCATGATTTCAGGGGCCATATTGACCTATTTAGGTAAGGAAAATAAAGGGCAATAGACAGCAAGCTGAGCTGCAAAGGGGATGTTTTCTTTCCCTTGACGGAATTTACTAGGGACTTTGGTTTTTGAATGTTTTGCTGGATGCCCTTGTAACAATCAAACTTCTTCCTCTGCAGACAGGAGAGCCCAGCTCTAGATCAGTATTGTAAGTTGGATAGGCTGAGCAGTTGGCCTCTGGACATGAGCCAAGAAAATGTACAAATTTCCATGACAACCTTCACACTTGGAAGATAGATTTCTTCTGTAATCTTTGTGGTAGGCTATCCGCTCGTTCTGTGCTCCAAGTCTTCAGATTGCTGGCTGACAACAAAATGTGGAAGAAACCTATACAAGGGATTTCTTGTTCAGTTGTTTGTCAAGTATTTCTTATTAATGATAACATAGTGGTTTGTCATTTTTCTTCTCCAGCTCATTTGACAAATGAGGAAACTGTGGTTAATAGGATTAAGTAACTTCCCCAGGGTCATATAAACTAGTGTCTGAGGACAGCTTTGAACTCAAGAAGATGATGATAGGCCCAATTATTAATAAAATACACTACCTAGCTTCCCCAGTCTACAGGTTAAGCCAATTCGCAGAGAATCAGGGACAGCTTGGAAATGGAGGTCATGAACCATGAACAGGGCATCATAAACATGTCAAACTTTTTGATCTCTTGAAGACAAATTCCCTGTACCTGTGTTCCTAGAACGTGTGAGATGGGATGCAACTTAATGTTACAGATCCCTTGAGTTCAGTAATGTGGGACCTGAGTATTATGATATACTAAAATGAAGTACTACAGAAATCAAA